ATTACTGTATTACATTATATATTTTTACTGTATAAGTCGATAATAATGATAATTGTTATTATTGATATTATTATTATTATTATTATTATATTAAATGAAAAGTATTTATATATTATAGTACTGCCTTTAATTTAAAGTTTAGAGAGAAAAAACACAAATGATGAATGTTTACTGTAATGTTCTCAATAGACTATATATGTTTTTATTTTTTTATTTTATAATGTACACGTATTTATGTATTTGCTGTTAAATGGCTTAAAATGTTTATTTAGTGATTTTTATAACCAACATTTCAACCAAACAGCCATTATGATTAATACTAAAGTATGCAACAAAATACAGTACAATCAATCAAGGCTTATTTTCCTCACTGTTATTTACTAAATGAGCACCAAGGACAAACAATATAAAAGCATTTTTGTCAACACTCTTATACTCAGATGTCACAGGAAGAAATTGTGACACAGACTTCAGGACATATAATGGCCAAATAAAAAGCGCATTAAAATCATCAAAATATATAATCAATAGTCCAAATCAGTATTGTCCAAAATCAAGAAACCCCTCAGCGATATGTGTAGCCACATTTGAACAAATCAGCAAGTCATAAAGAATTTATAGAAACCATGATTTACATTTTCCTTCTTTGAATGATCTAAATGACTGAACGTTCTCAAAATCTACCCTGGGCTGAATACTGTAATCTCCTGATTTCTCCTTTGTTCTTGTGCTTTTTCTAGGCAAGCAGTTCTGGGTGTTCAAGGACACACTGCTACAGCCTGGCTACCCACAGGACATCTCAATGTTTGGAAACGGCATGCCAGCGCAGAGTATAGAGACAGGCGTCTGGTGGGAGGACGTGGCCAAGACCTACTTCTTCAAAGTATTTTTTATATATATTACAATTTTGTATTATTTTTTTCTTTATGTCCATTGTTCATTCAGAATAGAAATTATTTTTTAAACCAACATAAACTGACAAATACTGTACTGTAATATTTGTAATATCATTTATAATTTACTGTAATTTCTTATTATGTAATCTTCCAATCTAGTTTAAGTTGTTGGCCATTTTAGCAAGGTTTTTATGCCAAACTTGAAAATTCAATTAAAATTTTTATCATTTACTCACCCTCATGTCCTTTCAAACCCTTAAGACTTGCTTTTTTCTATTCAGGATGCTTTTGAACTGAAAGAATGACATAAAAGCTCTGCAAAAATTATCTATATGACCCTGTACTATATTCCAAGTCTTTGGAAGTCATACAATAGTTTTGTGTGAGGAACACACCAATATTTAACTTACCTTCTGCTTTGGCTTTCAAATTTAATGCATGATAAAACTTGAAATATTGTGCACAAATCACATGGACCACTTTTATGGTGACAAAACATTCATTTCAAGCCAACTAAAGGCCCGTTCACACCAAGAACGATAACTATAAAGATAACTATATTAGCATCCACACCAGCGAACGATATCGTCTGTTTATTCCAAGCGCACACTCGTCTGCCGCTTTAAATTCTTGAGCTCATTATAGCAGGATTGATTCTGATTGGCTGTCAATGTTTTTATCGTTCATCAGCTGGAAAAAATTGTTCTGAAAGTGATTCCAATGATATCGTTTCTCTGTGCCTTTATCGTTATAGTTGTGGTGTGGACTCTGCTATTCTTTAATATTGAGAACGATTTTTAGAACTATATCTTTATCATTATCTTTATAGTTATCTTCCTTGGTGTGAACAGACCTTAACTCCTTAATAAGACCATACTTTACCGCACGCATTATGATAGACCTATAGAAAAAAATATTTGAATCTTTTTCTTTTCTAAGAATGGCTTAACTTGAAGTGCTGTAAAAAAAAATGTGGAAAAAAATATTTTTTTAAGGTACTTTATGATATGTTGCCATACGGCAACAGCATACAATAGTGGATCTATCTTAGAATAAGTGTAAGCTTACTTATAATTAATATTTTTCCTCAGAAATGTTGTTTGTGTTGATTCAATTGGTGCTATTATAAGCTTTAACACAGTACTTACTTATAATTGACACCTTATACATACTTTCCAAGAACTTGTGCTTTTATTTATTCTATTCTTTTTTTGCTGAACAATGATTTATATTTGTTTTAATTTCATTACATTTTTCAAGAATATTATTTAAACTGCAAATGTATACAGTTAAAACAAATATAATACTGTATATAATGTATCATTAAACATTGACATAAAACCAAAAACATTGCAGTTCATGAAAATTCAGCATTATGCAATCTCTTGAGAGGAAGACTATGGACATCACCCATAAACTATTGTAATAATGTCATTCCACTATTGCACAGTGTTGCCACTTGGCAACACATACATTTGAATGATTTACCAAAAACGAATTTTATAAAAACTTTTTTGAGAGGTGAATATGTCATCATAACATCATAACAGTGACGTTTTAGATTTTTTTTGTAGAAGTGACACGGACTGGTCCTTGTTTGTTACTGACGTTTTAGTTTGCTTTCAGCAACTACCGACAAGAGACAGCAGTCTGTCAGAAATCTCGCCACAGAAAAAAAACTGCATGTCATGTGACTTAATCAAAGCACATCATTGGCTAAACTAAGGTCTTCTCTTTCCAACAAAAAAAACGAGAATGTTCTCTTAAAGAGACAGTGGCAAGGAAATGAACACAAAGAGTATGTTGCCATATGGCTACACCATGCGGTAGAGGGTTAAGTAGAATTTGGAATCTTGTCAGAACCATTGGTTAGTGGTGCTCATGTAGGCAACACAAGTTTGAATCCGGCTTGCAACCTTTCACCATCTTCCCATAATTTCCTGTTGTTTCTCTACTATATTCTGAATAAAAAAAGGCAAAAATGGCAGAAAAATAATTTGGCACCCAATTTGAGGCCAACATAAAAAGCACTTCAGAAAAAGGGAAAAACCAACAAAGACTCTAAACATCTACAAAACTTAAATAAAGACTCATTAGCTAACTAATTTAAACTACAAACAGACCATGCAGCATCTGAAAATATATTACATTTGACTCCAAATCGTTTCTGTCCATTATGAAGCAGTTTAATTCAGCGTCAATCTCGTTTACACTGGCCTATTTTCATTCTGCACAAAAACACAGTTCTGAAAGGTTGTGCAGGACGAGTGTGAATGTCTCTGGCAGGAGCTCTCTGGGTGGGGACGTCTTGCATGAGTTCAGTCCGTAGCTGCAAGCGCGCAGGTCGATAGCCACGCATATGCCATCTGTACCCAGCCCCGCTGCCAGGTTTGCCCGTGGACACAGGCGCTCATCTGAGCGTGAAGGGTGGATTGATATTCCAGGGAAATTGTTTGGCTAACCACACTTTGATAGTGATTGTGGGCTTTCTTTCAGCCCTGTCTCTGCACGTTACCCAAAAGGCCTCTGTGGGCGAGACAGAGTCAAGAAAATTGACCCTAATTATGTGTCATCATGGCCAGCCGATCATGGGGAGATGGGAAAGGATAGCGTTTTTTTCCTCCGCTCTAGTCAAGTTTTAATGCTGGTATCGATGTTACGATAACCCGTGGTCTTACGATAAGCCTTTCAGATCACTCTTTTTAGATCACACTGAGCCCCTCTTCCAGTCTGGAACATTTTTATTTCCAGGATTTAGAATCTTTATTCACCAGATTTAGTGGAGAGTGACAGGAAATGAGCGGGGAGATGTGAGATCAGGATGAATCTCAGACTGGAACTTGCATCACCCACATGTGCACCATGGCTCAATGTGAACAATGTGAACAACCCAAATATAGATTACAGGTCTGATGACATTTTGGACTACAAAAAATAAAATTTAATTAAATTAAATAAAATTAAATAAAATTAAATTGTAAAGCATGCATCGTAATGGTAGCAAAATGAATAGGCTTATCAACTTTTAAAAGAAAAGTGAAAATACTTCCTATTTCTTTTGTTGTCAGCATCAAAGGCCATGTGTCCAATCAAACCTTACTGTATTTTGGTGCAAATTTATGTCACTTCGTAGAATTTAAATTTAGCAATGACATACCCTTCAAGATTTAAAAGTTTTTATTGTGTGTTTAAAAAAAACATATTTTACACATTTTACATAAATACATTTAGTATATACATATATTCTAAATATGAAAAATGAATAAAAAAATTATTTTTAAATATATATTTAAAATGTGAAATTATAGAAAATATATTTTTAGATTTTAAAAACAAAAATAAAGGCTAAAATATGTCAAATTATAATTACGTAAAAATATATTTGTGATATTTTAAAATATTAAAAAATATATAAAAAATATAAAATATATTTAAAAATCAGATAAATTCAGTGTTATTTTAGTACTAATTAAAATATAGTTTTTTATATTTGAATTAGTTTTTGTTTGTATATTTTCTGGTTTCATTTGAATTTTAATTAGTTTTAGTCATTTTTTGTGCGTTTTTTTATACATATGTCTACATAGTTTTTATTCATTTTTATTTTATTTTAAGTTATTTTAGTACATTAAGTTAAACTAAATTAAATTGAGAATTATTGCCTTGGCAACTACTATAGCTGCAAAAAAAAATGTTTTAATATATGTCAGATAAAGTTTATAGATTTTGTTTTAGTTAATAGCTCTGAATCAATTAAAATGCTACAAGTGAATTTAGGCATCACTATATTATAATGTTCAGTATAAAAAATAGATATTCACTTTGAGATTTGTTAAAGATTATATTTAAGTGAGCGTTTGATGTCCGCAAATGTAATAAAAAATGTAAAAATAGGTGGAAACTAACATGCACAATTAAATATCCAATATAAATATAAAAACAACTTACAAATGTCTCCCGTGTCAATGCTTTGCAGGTTTCACTTACTTCTACAAGGACAAAGAGTACTGGAAGTTCAACAACCACAGGCTACGGGTGGAGCCCGGCTACCCTCGCTCCATCCTCAAAGACTTCATGGGATGCGACCTCACGCCCATTGACCCTGACATGCAGCCGACAGAGGACGAAGACGTTGTGATTAAACTGGACAATGAAGCCAGCACGGTCAAAGTCATCGCCATCGTCATTCCCTGCGTCCTGGCGCTCTGCCTGCTGATGTTGATCTACACCGTCTTTCAGTTCAAGAGGAAGGGGACGCCCCGACACATACTGTACTGCAAACGCTCCATGCAGGAGTGGGTTTGAGTCACATGGCCACGAGACACGGTGGTGTAAACACCCTAAACTTGCGGACTTTGGCTCTCGACCTCGCTCAAGGAGAACAGCGAGGGCCTTTGCTTTGATTCCCCCCTCCAGGAGACGAGGGGTGCATTTCCCTCCAAAACTCCCTTCTCTTGTCCCATTGGCCCCGGTGCACCCGCTGTAGGAGGCTTGCGGGATTGCAAGGATCCCACGGTGCATTGCGCCGTCCAGTGCCACTGTTTGACGTGGAAATCGCTGATTGCTATACCTTTAGGTTTTACAAGTGCACGCTGAGAATTGAACAAATTTACGAAAATGTCGCAGGAGTCAGATTTTTTATTTTTTTTTACTTTCCAAATTTTCGCTTGGCTCCAATCTATTTATTTTTTAACAGAAATATTTACGATTCCCTTTAAAGCATCCCAAACCAAATAAAGACTCCAAAGAGGATCTTTTTTCTTCTTTTTACAATTTTTTTTATAATTTTTTTCTCCACTCTCTGCTCTAAATATTTTGCAATGATGTGAAGTGGGGAAAGTTTTGACTGTTGTGGCAGTCTGTCTCAAAAACAGGGGCCAAATTATTCTGCAATATTTTTAATAGCCTTAATTATGGATTGTGTTTGCTTTTGTTTTAGTTTATTTGTTTGTTTTTGAGCACCGCTTTGTTTGTCCTGTCAGAACAGCAGTGCAATATTGCTTTGCTCCCTTTGAGATCGATTTGAGACCTCATTTTCGCCAGGGGCTGCACTGCCGCTGGAACGGGGCGGGACTCCTTAACCTCTGCCTAACATATCAGTCAAAACAGAGGGAAGACCGAGCTACTGCAACAATGAATACTTTATTGTGTTTTTTTCCATCCGATGGTAGAATTGCAACAGCAAAGGAAGTGCTTAACTGTTTATCGTGCTTTACGCTCACTCGTTTGGTCGTGTTTACACGGACAGAGATTTGAGAATTAGTTTCTTCCCTTTTTCCAAAAGGTTGCTGTTCAAGACAGAGCATGTCATGTCCTTCAGACTGCCTTTAGGTCTGGATGGGATCCTAGAACCTTGACGTATGAACCAGAACCACCGGAGCAACTCAGGACAGTGCTTGATTCAAAGTGTATGCAAGCCTTCTCATCCAGTCCTGTGTCTTTATTATCAACCGAGAAGAGAATCAAGGATATATCATGTAACGTTTCACCATTGCTTGTGATCAGAAATTTCTGCAATAGGATCGGACGAATTTTTTTACGGAGTCAGAACTTTCAGTTGGGTCATGTCTTGCAGTCTGACTCTAGATCAATCCTTTGCATCGAACGGATGTTTGAACACACAGTTATTTGCTTGCATTAGCGTTTTTTTACATTTGTAAAAATTTTTTTTTTTTTTTTTTGGGTACATTCGAAATGGTCTTAACCTCAACTTTAAAGTGGTACTTAAAGTGCTAAGCTGTCATCCGGCACGTTTCCTTTAGATGCGAGAAGAAAAAAAAACATACGTGATCTGAAGGAAACCATATGCGTGTTTTTGGCAAGCAGTGTTTGAATGTGTCTCTGTATTGATGATAGATTTTTTTTTTTCTTTCTTTTTTCATTGTTTTAAGAAAAAAAGGGAAAAAATGGGACATTCTTCAAATTCATGTACTTCATGACTCGGTTTGGGATGAACTGTCCTGACAGACTTAATAAATTAATCAGTATATGATTAAAATGCCTTTTAGCGCTTTGTTCACATTTACTATACATGCATATTCAATCTGGGAAAATATAAACATCTACTCTTTCAACTAACAGAAATACCATGGTAATACCATAGTATTTTAGTGTGGTAATCATTTAGTAGTACCACAGAATATATCAAAACACTATGGTAATACCATGGTACTGCTGCAGTACTTTTCTTTCTTTCTTTGACTTACAAAAATGTACCATGTACCATGGTATTTTGGACATTTTTACCATAGTACTACAATGGTATTTGAACATGGTACTATGATACTACTATAGTACTATACTATAGACATTTTACCATGGTACTACCATGGTGTTTTGAACATGGAACCAGGGTAATATCATGGTATTTTGGACAAATTACCATGACATTAGAACATGGTACCATGATACTACTGTGGTATTTTGAACATGACACCATGGTACTATGAAAACTACTATGGTATTTTAGAAATTTTACCATGTTACTACCATGGTATTGAACATGGTACCATGGTATTTTGGACATTTTACCATGCCATTTGATCATGATACTTCTATGGGAATTTGATCATTTTACCATGGGACTGGTATTTTGAACATGGTACCATGATATTACTATGGCATTTACTATTCTGGACATGGTACTACCATGGCATTGAACATTGTACCATGGTATTTTGGACATTTTATCATGGCAATACCATGGTATTCTGATTAAATACCATTTTATTAAGAACACGTACTATGTTCTTGGAAATACCATGAAGTACCATGTAAATACAATGACACATGAATTCCAGTACCATGGTATATTTCAAAAGTACCATAGTATTTCTCTCTAATGTACCATAGGGTTCTATCCTCTCTCTTTCTCACTGTGTATATGTGTGTATGTACGCATTCGCATGAGTGCATCTGAACGTTTCCCAGAATCCCAGCAGATCAAACAAAAGTCAGCTTTAAACAGCTGAGATGAAACGGCAATCATTAAATAATACAGAAAATCGAGTATCATAAAGGTGGTGTGTATCCTGTGGTTATATTTAGCTAGTATGATAAGAATCAGAGCATAACATATGAGATGGCGTTGGGCAGAGGCATTCAGAACTCGCCAAGTGCAAAAGTAAACAGAGACAGCCGCGGCCCATGCTCATTCTGATTGGCTGTCGGAGCGCTGGCATGGCGGATGAGGTTAGGTCGGGCATCCAATTGCCATCTATGTTCCAATTCAAATCTAGCTGAGCAAAATGACTGCGACCATGGTTACTGCGAGCATAACGGCTGAGATGAGAGATTAAAGCGTTAAATGATCCGAATTACTGTCTGTGACTGTTTTTCAAGCGTTAATCACTCTAAACTGACCAGCAATGTTGCTAATACGGATGTGCAAAACTACATATTTTCAAATTCAAGTACTCGGTGGGTCGTCTGAATGACTAGTCGACTAGTTAGGGTCAAACATAAGGCCGAAAATGTCTGATTGCATGTACACTACCGTTCAAAAGTCTTGGGTTGACAAGATTTTTTTTGTAATGTTTATCACCAAGGCTGCATTTATATGATAAAAAATACAGTAAAAACAATATTGTGAAATATTATTACATTTTAAGATTTGCAATTATTTGTTAAAATAATTTCTATTTAAATATATATTAAAATGTAATTTATTCCTGTGATGCAAAGTTGAATTTTCAGCATCGTTACTCCAGTCTTCAGTGTCACGTGATCCTTCAGAAATCATTCTAATATGCTGATCTGATGCTGAAGAAACATTTCTTATTATTATCAATGCTGAAAACCGTTGTGCTGCTTAAAATAATTTTGTGGCAACGGTGAGAATTTTTTCAGAATTCTTCAATGAAAAGGAAGTTCAAAAGAACATCTATTTGAAACAGACAAACTTTTGTGACATTATAAATGTCTTTACTGTCACTTTTGATCAAATTAATAGGGAAGCGACAGAATAAAAATAAATTAATAAATAAAAAGGTAATTGCAACTTTTTATTTTTATTCTGAGACAAACTCAGAATTGCAAGACATTGTGAGATAAAACGTTGCAATTACTTTTATTTATTCTGTGGTGCAAAAAAAAAAAAACTTTGAAATTGACCAAAATTGAATCGGAATTGTGAGACATAAACTCAAAATTGAGAGAGAAAATTTGGAATTCCAAGTTTATATTTCACAATTTAGACTTTTTCCTCAAAATTGCAAGAAACAGTCCAAATTATGATATATAAACTCAGAATTGAGAAAAAGTCAATTGTGAGATAAACAGTTTCAATTGCATTTTTTATTTGATTTTTTTTTTTTATTCAGTGGTGTAAACAAACTTTTGAATGGTAGTGTAAAATATACATTCACCAGACTAATTTTCTTAAAAGTGGTGAATTAGTTTTTCGATGGAATCAGTGGTGAAATAAATGCAATTAAAGATGCAACTCCTCAGAGAGAGCATTTTATCATACTGAAAATTAAAATTAAAATGATCGTGCTAAAACTCAGTGTTCTAAAAATGTTCACTGAGAAGTTGTGTCTCTAAATCTTACTATTTGAACTCATTTTTGGATGTGTAGTCGACTAGTTGATCATGCTGTGAGAAAAAAAATGTCTCTAAGAAGCTAATCTGTCTTTGTGTGTTTGGTGGAAGAACAGTGAGTCTGGTCTCTCTCTGAACGTTTTCTGTCTAACCGACAGAACTTGTGGTGCTAACTGGACCTACACTGGTGAGCGTCATCCTGTAATCTTTTGGTGCTGTTATTATTTTAGACATTATGGATTTACACTTGATTTGATGATGGTCTGTGCAGATGGTTCACGCTCATGTAGCACTAGTCGTGATGGTGCATGGATTCGTAGTTTAGCGTGTTAAAGGCTCGCGTATAGTTCCTGTGTGTTCTGTGAAGGCCTTAAGCTTCAGCTAAGTCAGGTGTCAAAGGTCGAGCCGCCCATTGGCTACATGTTGGTGCTAGACCCTGATTCATGTTTACAGTTTCTGTGACTTTAGCAAAGATGTGGTTTTCTGTTTGCTTTGTAACATTTATTCTCTAGACTAACGTATCAGTTCCTCCAACTCATTAGCATCTTTGCTAATCTCAAGTCATCCTCATTGTCATGTGTATCGTCTTGCCATCCTGATTATGTTAAACGATTCCAAATGAAGGAAACAAACGAAGTCTGAAAAACATGTTTATACTTTTTCATTCTGTCTGTATCCCTGTATTTGTGATGTATCTGTTGACGATCCATTTCATTGATCAATAAACTCATTTGAACATATTTCCCCTGAGCATTTTTGTGTTCATCTACCTGTTCCATCATCATGTTTCCTCATTTTCAGTCCATTGTGGTTGATTCATTATGGATCATTCCTAGTCCAAACATCATTCAACTACTGCTGCACTTTCAGAGCTGTGCTAACATAAATGTGAAAAACTAAAACTAAGCTAAAATACATGTTCATGACTCCAAAATTAAGTAAAATAAAAATCACAAATTAATAATAAAAAATTTTTTTAAATAAATTTTGTTTACTAGTCAAATAAAAACTAAATACAGTATGCAGAATCTAGGAAACTAGATTATAGTGTGAACATAACGATAAACGTAACGATAATGTAACAATAATTAAACTAAATTTAAAAAATGTCAAATAAATTGACAAATAAAATTCAATTCAAAAACTAAATTCAAAACTATAAAAAAGCTATATATTAGAACAAAAATATAAGTATAAAACATTTATTTAAAAAACTGCATCAGATTATAAACAGGTTATAGCATAAAACGAACTGTAAAAAAACTATAAAAACTAATTGACAAATAAAATAGAAATAAAAACTAAATTCAAAACTATAATATATTTTATATGAAAGCATAAAATAAAAGCATAAAACATTTACGCAAAAAATGGTGCAAAAATATTCACACAAATAAAAGAAATATACAGAAACTAGAAAACTAAAACTGATTATAGCATAACTAACTATAACTGAACTAAAATTAACTGACAAATAAAATAGAAGTAAAAACTACATAAAAAAATTAAAAACCACAAAATATTTATATTCCAAAAAAATAAATAAATATACAAAAACTAGAACTGAAAAAAATTTTTAAAAAATAAAACAGATTACGGTGTAAAAACTAATGATAAACTAAAATAAAAACAAACGTCAAATAAAATAGAAAACAAAAATTAATTCAAAATTCAAAACTATAAAGCATTTTATATACATTTTATAATGCCTAAAAGTATCAAATCTTTGCACAGAAAATACTTCAATAATATTCAGACACACACGGAAGTAATACTTCTGAATAAAAATAAAATAAAATGAAGAAAATAAGCTTGTCAAGATGTTGCCAAATCATTTCAAAGGCATTTTTATGAAAACGTTCTATTTCGTAATGTAAGTGATGGACTTAAATAGGCTGTAAATATGTTGCTGTAATTACAAAGTCCTCACACACGGAAGTAATACTTCTGAATAAAATTAAAATAAAATGAAGAAAATAAGCTTGTCAAGATGTTGCCAAATTTCAAAGGCATTTTTATGAAAACGTTCTATTTCGTAATGTAAGTGATGGACTTAAATAGGCTGTAAATATGTTGCTGTAATTACAAAGTCCTTTTAATTAAAGCGCTTAGTGTTCTTTTAAATAGCATTATATATGAGATTTTGCAAACATTGATACATAATGTCTTTATGAGTGTCTCCAGGCAGACTTGCATGGATGCAGCCCAGCTAGGAGCCACAACTGCAGTGAGAGCTCATTATCCTCATTAGTCGGACTGCTAAAGGGATTCGAACTGCAGGAAGAAATTAGCTCCATTTCTCGGAATACTGACTTGCCCGTGGGGTTCATTCTAGTCTCCACGCCTTACTGACTTTTCTGAAATATCACAATATCGCTAAGACAGAAACAGCAAACACCCACACACTACCAACAGACAGCATAACCTATAGACTCCATCCACAAACATAAC